ACAAGGTGGTGCATGATCATTGACACCTACAGAGCTCTGGCCTCCACCCACAACTGTGCACACATACACAGAGAATTCCCCTCCAGGGAAGAACTGTCTACTGTCAGGCAGAGAATCGAATCAAAGAATATGAGAATATGATGGCAACGAGAAAAAAAATCTGACTAGAAAACACCCTCCTTCATTCCTAGGTGACTACAGGGAGGGGCCTGCCAACACTACCTCACCTTTTGAATAGGTAACAGCCAACTCTAGGTTACGCAGGATGTCTGAGGGCTGCAGGAGAGTCCTAATAGGTAAGAGTGCAGCTCAGGTAGCCACCTCCCCGAAAAACAGTTCTGGAGCCAAACGTGTCACATACCGGAAGATAAAACTTTCTTAGCAAAAGGTGTTCCACGTGAATGGGGGTGGGGGTGGCTGTTATACAATGGAATGTCATTTAGCCATGAAAAAGGATGAAATTCTGACTCATGCTACAACCAAAAAGTACTGATTCATGCGACAAGATGAATTCTGGAAAGGAGGCACCAAGAAACCAGACACAAAAGGCCACACGGGACCCCTGACTGACGACTATTCCCAAAAGGCAAATCTAAGGAGACAGGTATATTGATGCTAAGCAGGCTGAAAATGGATACTGACCAAAAAAGGGTACCAGGGGTCTTGGGAGTGGTTCTCAAAGTGGGTGGCGGTGCTGACACTTCAAGAAAGTGGCCCTTTGATATGGACATGCTATAAAAATGAAGTTCCTACATTTACAAAGTAACGGTAAGGCAGCGTGGTTTTAAATTCCAGCACCAGAGGTGGAGGGGGGAGGATCCGGAGCTCAAAGCCAGCTGAGGCAGAATTAGACTCTGTCTTAAATATTAAAGGTTTTGTTTGTTGTTTTTTTTTTCCATGTCAAAACTAGTTTTGCAGATTTTAGTGGAAGGAACTGCTTTTCTCTCTGTCCGGCTTTCCTTTCGCTTCCTAACCTTACAGAGGCTGGCACCCAGAATCAGATCTTCAAGTGGGTTCCTCCTGTCACCTCAAAGCGCCACTCGAAAAGCCAGTAATGCAACTACAGTAAATGCAACGACGAGCCTTAATATGCACGGACCCGCAGGCCCGTTCCCCGGGGCTCGCGACCGCAGGACCCTGCAGAGGAGGGCGGCGCGTGCGCACCGCGGCGCGCAGGCGCAGGCCAGGCCGCTGCTCCGGGCCAATTGCTGCCGAAGCCACAGCGGTGGCCCCCGCGGCCCCGACGCGGGGAACGAGCGGCCGGGCCTAGGGCGCGGCCAGCTCTCGCCCGCGGCCGGCTGACGTACCTGCGTCCGCCTCAGGCTCGAGGCCGGCGGGCCCGGGGGAACGGCGCCTCCGCCGCGAACACGCCTGGACTCTCCATTCGGGGGGGATGTTTACTCGCAACTCTCGCGAGACCACGGCGCTGCAGGGACAGGAGCAGCGGCCTGGCGTGCCCCGCGCGCCCGCCCGCCCGCGACCTGCGTGCGCGCTCCTGGGGTCCCGGCACCGGAGGCGAGAGGAGGGCCAGGGATCTCGCGACATTTGAGGCCCGGGGGCGGGAGCGAGGGCGGGGCCAGAGCGGCCTCCAGCCGTGGGGAACGCTGGTTCGCGGGGCTTGCTGGCCTGCAGAGGAGGGGAAGGAGCACGCGCCTGTGCGCAGCCCCGTGGAGCGACTCCTGTCCAGCTTATGCGTGCACGCCTAAGCTACCTCCGCAGCCCCAGCTTCTGGTGGCCAGGGTCTGTGTGTCCCGCGTGGCGCCAGCGGCTGAGGGCCTCCGATGGCCTGGCTCTATGCACCCATCTAAACTACCCCCCATGGCTGTGGAGGTGAACCCAACATGCGTTCTCCTTAACTAACCCCATGGCCCCAGCTGCTGAGACGGCCTCTGAGGAGGGCCGTTTCTAACTACTGCCAGGGGCATCTGCACCTTGAAAAACAGGAAGGGCTTTTATAACAGCAAATATTTACCACTTTGAACAGTCAACGTGAAAGTCTGCCTGGCAAAACGTACTTTGGGCGATTTAGAACACCAGAAGGATAGGCGTATTCTCAGTCTTAATTTAGTGCCGAGTCGGACCAAGTTGGCCCTGGCACAACCTAAGTGTGGGCAGCAAGCATGCTTGGGTAATGTGACTGAACCAGACAAAAAGATGGAGGACACAAGCAAACCTAGACTCCTGGGCCCACAATTTAGGAGATGGACCTTGACTACCAAGCCTGGTATAGAAATTGGGTTACTCACTGGAACCTGCGGCTGAGCAACCTCTTCCTGAAAGAGGATCTGGAGGTGAGCAGGGTGCAGAGGAGACCCTGTGCAGGGCTCTTTTGCTATGTTCCTCGGGTGCTCAGTCAGAAAGGGCAGTTTGGAAGAGAGAGATATGACTCCGCCATTAAGAGTTAACTTAAACCGGGCAGTGGTGGCGCACGCCTTTAATCCCAGCACTTGGGATGCAGAGACGGATCTCTGTGAGTTCGAGGCCAGCCTAGTCTACAGAGTGAGTTCCAGGGCAGCCAGGACTGTTTCACAAAAAAAAAAAAAAAAAGGTTCACTTAAACCAGGCATGATGGTGCACACCTTTAATCCCAGCACTCAGGAGTCAGAGGCAAACGGATCTCTGAGTTTGAAGCCAGCCTGATCTACAAAGTGAATTCTGGGACAGCCAGAGCTACACAATTAAACCCTGTCTCAAAATACTGGGGAAAAAGAAGAAGAAAATGCATGTAAGAAGGCACACTACTAGGACCCAGGTTTAGATCCAGCAAACATAATGGGCAGCTCACAACCAGCTGTAACTTCAGCTTCAGGGGGATCTGATGTTTTTTACCTCTGTGGGTACCTGTACTCCTATGCACATACCCACACAGAAACAAATTTTTTGAAAGGGCAATATTGAGGCAGATGTGTGGTCTGTGGATGTAGCCCCACACTTTGCAAATGGTATACTGCATTTGTTCCCAGGTTCCAGTATATCCCATGGGCGGCCCGTCTTGTGGAGATGCTATGGAGAGACCCTACGGTCTGCCCACTCCCAAGAACTCCAGTCTTGCTCTCTAATGCAGTACTCTTGACTACTTCACTCTCCCAAGCTGTCAGTCACTCCACGCCTGGATCCCAGTAACTAGAAGTCTCTTGCTAACACAGGAGAAACTAGGGGCAAGAAGTTGATGGTCTAAAGGATCTGTTAAACCTGCTTAGAAAATATTAGGTTTCACAGTGTAGACTTTAGCCAAAGAAGTGCTCAAGGCTGAGCAGTGTGCTTACCAGCCTGTAGAAAAGAAACATTTGTATCTGGAACATAATTACAGTTTAGGTTTGCTGAGTGTTTCTGTTAAGATTCGTTCACTAAGAATGCTACCTATTAGGGCCATAACAAAAGGAGACACCCTGGCTCACAGCTGGCCATCAGGAACATTCCCACATCAAAGAACATGCCTCTGTTGGATGTCCAAAGGGAAGAGCACTGGGTCACAGCGCTACTGAATCCTATCCAGGTACTGGTACTCTTATCTGAAAGAGCAATTTTCTGCCAAGCAAGCAGGATGGCCCTGGTTAACAGCAGCCTAGGGGCTGTCTCGGGATAACTATGACAATTACTTTATTGTACTGTATTACTTACTATATTGTTAATCTCCTTCATTCATCTGGATAGCCAAACTTTGGAAATGAAGTGTAACTGTGGGCCCTGACTACTAAACTGAGTGGGGATTTCTGTTCAGGGCTGTTTTGTACAGTAGCCAGAACCAGTCCCATGCTATTATTAAAGAGTTTCCTTTATTAATCTCCAAGTGCTGGAGTGACTTCTCCCTGGGAAAACATATTCAGTCTATAATATACTGTGTTTATGTAGGGATGGATGTTAGAATCTAGAGAGGACTTCAAGTGTACAGAGGACCTGTGTGGTTACATGCAAACGCAATTTCATTTGATCCCAGGGATGTAAGCATCAGCAGATTTTGGTGTTCATGGGGCTCCCAGGACTGATCCCACACAGACACCAGGGGATCACTGGGTAACCATGTGACCACACCAGAGCTGCAGCTGTCCAGGGCTGAGGGTATTGCAACTGAACATACCCCTCTCCTGGAGACACATCAAAACTCAAAGCACACAGGAGGCACACTGTCAGTCCTAAGTCAGGGACTATCAAGCTCACTGTGGGAAGATAGGAGAGACTGAGGGCACAGATTGTCAGGTCTGAGGAGACACCAGCAAGCCTCCAGTTCTCACAAAGAGATTTTTACATCACTGAGGTAAGCAAAAACAAAAATGGCTGGTCAGGGGGCTGGAGAGAGTTCAGTGGTTAAGAGCACTTACTGCTCTTGCAGAGGACTTGAGTTCAGTTCCCAGCAACCACATCAGGTAGCTCACAACCACCTGTAACTCCAGTCCAGATATCTGACTCTCTTTTCTGGTCCCTGTGGGCACCTGCACACATGTGGCATACACTCACACAGATACAAGATATAAAGAAAAATAAAATCATAGGGGCTGGAGAGAGGTCTGGAGGACCCAGGTTTGATCCTCACCCACATAGTGGCTCATAACCATTTGTGACTCCAGTTCCAGGGAATCTGATGCCCTCTGGCCTCCAATGGCACCTGCATGCACGTGCTGCATACAAACTCACACAGCCTCACATACATATAAACAAACTTATAAAGATGAATTTTCAAAGAACTTCAGAACTTCATCTGTTCTCTCTTTTTCTTCCCACTTTTTAAAACCTACACCTGGCTTTTGTACCTACCACAAGATCGAAATGGCTTGTGATGAGTCACCTCACCATCTCCACACTGCCAAGTTCATAACTCATCCTCACCTACTCAGCCCATCAGAGGGGAAGAGCAAGATCCCCTGGGTGCTCTGCAGGTGCAGGCACATTGGTGTGCGCTCTGCTGCTTAATGAGTGACAGTCATGGCTGGTGACAAGTCAACTTCTGCTCATCAAGTCTACAAGGAGGGGGAAGGGGAAGAACCTTTTCTGGCAGTGACACATGAAGGAAACAGTGATGCTTTTATTGTTACATTTTAATTCACAGGGTAAGTTACAAAGGTTCAAGTTCAGAGCTCTTCCTTCCTTGGTTTAAAAAAAAAACAAAAACAAAAAACAACAACAACAAAACATGTCCACAGTGAGAGGAATAACTCTCGGCAGAGGGGCTGAGTATAAAAGCTAGGAAGCCTAAGGATGCCTGGTTTGGGTCTTCTCCTGGAGCCACGGATCACCACTGTGCCTGAGTCTGCACCAATCAAGTTCTGGCTGCGTCCTGTTGAAGGACCATCACTGACAATGTGGACCTCTCTTATCACATAGCAAGGACTCTGCCCATTGCCTGACAAGTCTGAATACTGGACCACAGGACCTTACACAGAACTGACAGTGTGTCCCTGCTATGGATTTTGTTTCCTGAACCAGAGTTTCACTTTGTGGCCCATGATAGCCTTGAACTCCGGAGTCTCCCGCCTCCGCACCCCTACCCCCAGGGGATCATGCTTGATGACGTTTCAAGTGGAGCTGCTGCTGCTGCTTATCACGCATTCCCCAAAGTTCCCGTCAGTATGACCGCAGTACCCACCAATGCTCTTCTGCCACCATCTCCAAGCAGAGTTCTGCACATGTTCTGAAGACATAATTGAGGACAGGAAGAACTTCAGAATCTGACCACTGATTTTCCAGATCCCAGTCACAGCTGTTCAACATAAAGGTGCACTTGCGCCTACGAGGGCTGGAATGTCACCTCAAATAATTCCACACAAGTCCCAGCATTCCACCCATTTTCATTTCCCGGGCACAGCATCAGTACCACAATGTTAAGTGCCGCATTCCTCCACTCGGCACACGACGCCATGGCTTACGGATCCCCAAGTGCTGGCTATGAAACCCGTACACGTGTTTGGTTTTACAAGACCGAATTAAACACAGTAAGTTTCAACACTCACCCATATCGTGGGGGTTTGTGTAAATTATCTTCTCACCAATAGAAGCATCCCCTACAATGTACATATTCATTACACAGGCCAAAAAACGAGCTTCTAACATCATTCCCATAATACCTCACACCACACACAAAAGTTGCTCATATTTTCACCACTATTCCACAAACACTTGATGATTTTATCAACAATGCTCCTGGGAAGAAATTGGACGACATAAGAAAGTGTACGAAAACCAGCCATAAGCAGCTCTGAAGGGGTCAGTTACAACATGGACGCACTGAGATATCACTACTTAGCCACAACAATTACCTTAGAAATCAAAAGATACTGTATCCCAATCTAGGAATGAAACCCGCCCACGGAGTTGGAAAGACAAAAACCACTCAAAGGAAGCAGCGTCAGACATGGTAAGCCCACGACGGGGTTGGGCAGGCTTTTACCAAGTGAAAAGGAGTAACCCAGACCTTTAATATGCTAAGGCTCCCCGTTACCTCATCCTGACAAAGTCTCTACTAAAGTCATATCAATAACATTGCTCAGACACACATAGCACACAGCACACACATGTTCTGGGGGAAGCGTAGGGAAAGGCAGTGTGCACACACAGATGCCCCGACAAGGAGCCATGTGGTGTGACACCCATCTGCACTCACAGTTCACAGTTAGAAAATAACACTTCTCTGTTGTCTTCCTGATGAACGCTATTATTTTTTGAGATAGGTTTAAACTATGTATCCCTGGCTAGCCTGAAACTCACTACATAGCCCAGACAAACTCAGAGATCCATCTGTCTCCACCTCTCCAGTGCTGGGATTGAAGGCATGAGCCACCACGCCCAGAGTGATTTCCCTTACAGGAGCTGCCAGTCTAACTGCTAGGAAAGTCTTCCCTTCTGTTCTCAGGCTTTGTGGCTATGTGCCCTGGGCCACCCGTGTGGTCCCTGAGGTTTTCTCACAGACTGAAAGTCGGCCTCGTGAAAGATGGCAACACACTAGGTACTCAGTAAGAGACGATATGCAGGTGAGCTAAATGTGTTTTCCAAATGCCGGAATACTGCAGGTTCCTGTGGCTTGGCCCAGCTTCTCCCGAGCTTCCAGATTCAGGCTTGGCAGGATAAGGCCTCTTTCCTCAGGGAGCGGTTGAGAAGGTTTGCTCCCCACACCCAGAGCCACTCAGGCATATACTGTGTGAAAAGAAACTACAAATGAGAGAGAGAGAGAGAGACGTGGTTAGAATCCCAAACCATCAAAGCTGAAGAAACAAGGGTACCGACCAGTGCGGGATCGAACCCTGTTAACAGACATCTACTGACCACATCAAACAACAGAGTCTGAGCCCCTTCCATACTGAGGTTTGCTTCTGCATAGGGCACTCACCTCGATTCACTCAAGGTAGCAGCACAAGGCGTGACGCCCCATCGTGAGGCCCCACCATCAGCTCCTGCTCCCTTTCTGTTCCATTCTGGGAACGAATGTCCTAAGTAAAACATTCTAAATCCAAGGAGAAGCTACAGCTGTACCACCCCGAACAGGGTTTCATCTAAATCCAAGGAGATGGAAGAGTCTTGCAGGAGTCCCTTGGGAGGCCCCGGGAGTGGCTCATCCAAATCCATGGGCCCCTGAGACAGGTGAGACCCTGGGAGCCCGGGTGGTACTTGTTACACGTATGTCAGTGTTTCCTTAGTGGGAAGGGGGCTAAGTCGAGTCAACCAGAGAACAGTTCTCCAGCACACCAGTCAAGCGCTGGCTCCCTTGGCAGCTGTCTGTGGGAGTGAGGGAAGAGGAGTGATGAACTTTATCCTCAGGGTGCAGACCATGAAGCGCTGGAGTTTCAAAGGCACACTCCTGAGTCAGGGTTAAGTTTCAGCTGTACTTTATGGTGAAAGCTAAGCATGCCCAGAGCATCCCTGTCCATCACATTCACCTCCGTAACCTCAGACTGCGCATGGACCAACTCTAGATGGTATGTACAGGCATCCTGAATAACCCACGCCCTTCGTTATGGGAGACATTGCTCCAGAGACAGTGCCTCACTCTTCTTGTCCTCCGCAGGTCAGTCTTTATCTACTCCTGAACCCTGGCTGCACTACTTTGGGCTTTGCCCTCACCTACCTAAGATCTCACTTCACTCCATTAGACAGGGAAGCGAACCACCCTGAGCTGGGGTGGTGACAGTCCCCAACTGAAGCAAGAGTTTGGGAAGCAGAGGCACACAGGAAGGGGTTTCAGGCTCTTAAACTCTTTTTTGGGGGGGTGGGGAGGATGTTTCAAGACAGGGTTTCTCTGTGTAGTTTTGGAGCCTGTCCTGGATCTCGCTCTGTAGACCAGGCTGGCCTTGAACTCACAGAGATCCGCCTGGCTCTGCCTCCCGAGTGCTGGGATCAAAGGCGTGCGCCACCACCGCCCGACCTTTTAAACTCTTTAGAGTTTGAGTCACGTCACGGGTGCTGACCCATCCGAGCTTAAGAGGGCAGTGCTCCGGGGGCAGCAAAAACACCAGTGGAGGCCAGAAAGTTCAGAAAGACACCGGAAGGCACAGACAGTGACCATGCACACTCTTGTCAGTCTCCACCTGGCTTCCCTCGGCCATCCCCACCTCAGCTAGAACGCCTTCCTCCGTTTTGCCCTGCCGTGCTGAGACTCTCACCTAGCCCTTCTCCTTACACGCGCTCTCTGTGGCGTTACCAAACGCTGCCAACCTGCGACCCTGTCTCCGGCAGGAACCCCTCGCCTGAACACCGAGCTGTGTAGCTGCCGCCTCAGCTGCTCCGCCCGGCTCCCCAGCACCCTTGTACCAGCTGCGCTCAGCTCCACTAGCGTTCGTCACACCTGATTACGTCACACCTGATTACCCCTCCTCAGGTAGCCGCCTATCTGGACCAGAGTAGTCCCAATCCTTCCTGTTCCATCTACCGACGTGTTCCACGTCTCCAGGCGGGAGGCACCTCTCCTGCGAGGTTCACTGCTGGAGCAGAAATCCACCAATGCACATCTGCTATCAACTTCCTCCTCCCGGCAATGAACAAATGCAGAACACCGTTCTCGTTAAACTCACAGCACAAGGAGGCCAACTGGGGTGAGAAGTGTCACCGTTTGTTTGACATATCCCAAATCTGTCCCTTACAGCCAAAGGATGACTGAGGGTGAACATCTTCATCAAACTGAGACCTTTGTGACCCTAGGAAAGCAATAGCTACATGGGAAAAGTCACAGCCAGAGCCAGCAGAGAAGTACAGCGTGGCCAAGACTGTGGTGGACGGATATCTTGGTTGTGAAACAGAAGCAGGGGCTGGAGAGATGCTCAGTGGTTAAGAGCACTGGCTGCTCTTCACCAAGACCGGAGTTCCGTCAGTTCCCCGCACAAATGTCAGACGTCTCCTAACTACCCGGAACTCCAGTTCCAGGGGATCTGACACGCTCTTCTGGCCTCTGTGGGCACTGCAAACATGTGCTTATACCCACAGAAACATGCATAAACACATAAAATTTAAAAATGCTTTAAAAGGGCATCACCCTAAAAATTAAGAGGGAAAAAAGACAAAAGAAACAGATTGGCAAGGTTAAAAACACAAGTTCTCACAGCTCTGCACAGAAAACTACCCTGGGACTAAAGAGCTTCACGGGACTTCTTGGCAGAAAATACTTTTTTGTTGCCAATAGTGGTGCTAGGGATCGAATCCAGGGTCCCATGCTTGCACTGAGCAACATCCCTAGTTCATCTATTCGTTCTCTCTCTCTCAATTTTAAACTTTTTCTATTTTGAGACAAGGTCTTGATAAGTTGCTCAGGCTGGCCTTGAACTCACTCTACAGTTCAGGCAGGCTCTGTAATCCTTCTGCCTCAGCCTCCAAAGCAGCCAGGATTACCAGCCTGCACTTGCCCCAGCAGCTGCATCTCTAAGAGAACTTCAGGGTCTTAGAGACACTTTTCACTTGTTTTGTTTTGAGAAAGAAAAGGCCTCACTACATAGGCCAGGCTGACCCTAAGTTGAGATCTTCCTGCCTCAGCCTCTTGCCTATTGAAAAGATGGCTGGGCTACCATAGCCAGCCTTAAACTACTTTTTGGGCTTCTCTACTCAGTTCTCAAGTATGGACTCGGAAAGAGTTACTAAGACAGCTTTTTAGACAAACCTATAGCTCTGAGCCTTTAGACAAAAGTAAGAATTATGTGCTAATTTACTCATGTTTATTTTGTGGTAGTAAACAAAATTATCTTTATGTATAACAGCCCCAAAACTATTTTAACTGGTAATCAGAAATGCCCAGTAAATTCCAAATCTGGGAACATCTATATCTATTCCAGATAATAAGAAACAGATTATCATAAATCTTTAGTTACTGCCCTTGTAATTAAAATCACAATTTTAAATATTTCATAAAGTTCACATATTTTTCTTTTTTGGTTTTTCAAGGCATGGTTTCTCTGTGTAACAGCTCTGGCTGTCCTGGAACTCACTCTGTAGACCAAGCTGGCTTCAGACTCACTTGCCTCTGCCTCCTGAGAGCTGGGATTAAAGGCGTGTGCCACCACACCTGGCAGAAGCTCAAATACTCTTCCAAGTATTTTTATTACACTTATTTGTGGGTGCACGCATGCCCTGGTGTGTGTAGAGACCTGAGGACAACTTGTGGAAGGCACTGCTCTTCCTCTACCACGTGGGGCTTAGAGACCAAATTCAGGTCGTCAGGCCTGGGGGCGAGCACCTTTACCTGCTGAGCCAGCTGGCTGGCCCTGAAATACTCTTAAAATCCTTGTTTTATCTGAACAACAACAACAACAAAAACAACAAATCTTAGGAAAAATTCTAGATTTCCTGAGTAAACGAATCCAAGAATACATGGAGGTTCACGGCCCTATCTTAGGGCTTTCTGAACTGGGCTGTGCACATAGCATTTCCCCTTCAGACATCACCAACTTCTCTGCACTGAAATCCCTATTCAAGCTGAAGCAGCCTATTTCATGTTTGGAGGGTGGGGGATTTGAAAATTTTTACATGAATCACCCCACATGAGCATCTAGCACTGTAAGTGAAATCACTGAGATATGAGGTGTGAGTGAGGATTCCCAACCCTCGGTCCCTGGCAAGGCTCACAGAGCTGTGGCTCTGACGGCGTGGGGCTACCTGAATGGAGTGGGACCAGTAGCCTGTGGTCCTTTTCGAAATGCCCAGGGTCGACACCGCATGCTGTGCATACACTCTCGGCGAAGGTGCCAGCCACGGGCATCTGTGCAGGAAGCTGCCGGGTGCCGTCACACCGGTGGTCACGTAGAAGGGGATCAGACTCTGCACGAAGATCCCTTTAGAGGCATACTCGTACTGCAGGGCTCGGCTGAAGTGGTCCAGATAGGCCTGGGGGGACAGAAGGGGGGGGAGACGACTCTGAACCTAGAAGGACTTTGAAAGAAAACCCAGGAGCAAAAAAGACTTGCCTAGTCCCATCTTGGGAAAAACTGCCAGCATAAGCAAATGGGAGCTGACTACTCCCTGACCATCCCACGGGAAGAAGAGTCTGACCTTGGATGCAGAAATGGCAGCCAGCTGTGGCGTGGGCTTGCAGCAGGCGCCAGAAGACACTGTGACGATGGCGCCCTTCTTTCTCTCCACCATTCCCGGAAGCACTATGTGGACCATCAAGCTTGCGGCCGCAATGTTCACATTCACAATGTCCCAGAGCGTGTCCTCGGGAATCTGGGTGAAATACTGGGGGTAGGGGTAGAATGCACCCATGTCATTCACCAGGATGCCAATGTCTCTGTCTCTCAGGGCTTCTCGGATCGGAGCATAAACCTCCCGGCCTCTGCTGAAGTCTGCTACCATGACAACTGTCTCCACCCTGTAGGTGTCAGCTATGTGCTTGGCCACGGCCTGCAGCTTCTCTTCTTCATGGCTGATCAGGATGATGTTGAGTCCACGGCTCGCTAACTCCTCAGCATAGGCCTTCCCAATGCCATCTGTGGCCCCTGCAAGGCAAGCCAGGAGGCATGAGCGTGGTGAAGCATGGCATCCCTCCAGAGAACCAGAACTGCTCACTGTTGATCTCACCAGAGAAAAACGTACGCTGAGGGGAAATGCACAACGTCTGCCAGTTAAGGACGACGCTGAACTGATAAGGTGAATCATAACGCTAAAGGTCCTCAGGCAGGGACCGGCAAGAGGGCTCAGTGGGTATAGGTACTCGCCGCCAAGCCTGACGATCTGAGTTCAAACCCCAGGACCCACATGGTGGAAGGAGAGAACTGACTCCCAAAAGCTGTTCCCAGACTTTTATATGTACACATGGCATACATGCGCACACTCATGCGCGCACGCACACACGCACGCAAATGCATGCACTCTAAGATACCCTGACAGACAGACAGACCAGGCACTGCTCACACTCAGCCAGAAGGAGTAGGATACTACGGTAGGACTGTTTCCAAACTCACCCCTGACTTGCTCAGGTGTCAGGATGAGCTTTCTGGGACACTTGAGATAAATCACAATGCAATTCAAACTAGGCAAAGCATTTCTGAGAGCTTTGACAACCCCTAAGGGCAATGTCAAAACAGACAGCAGAAAAGACATGTGGGGGGTGGGAAGTGGGGGACTGGGAACAGGGAGCTGGAGTAATGAGGGGGATGCCTCTGAGGGTAGGGCTCCCTGAAGTGAGGTGGGGAGAGTGCAGAATGAGGTCTCAGCAGGAGGCTGAAGCCTCCACTTAAACTCTGTAGCTCCTTGCTAGAAGCACTGACTCAAAACACAACCCAAACAGAAAGGTCACTGGAGCTGAAATCAAGTTACCACTGACGACGGCCCATCTTCCATACTGCTTGATGAGGTCGGGCCTGCTCCCCAGGCGAGGGATGAAGTGCAGCCTGACCAGGCTGTAGAAGTCACAGATGACCGTGATGCTCTTTCTGGCTGTGTACCAGGCTCCCACCAAGGCCAGTGCTTCCATATAGCAGTTGCAAGACCTGGCAATTTCCCTGTACAAGAGGTAGAAGCTGTCAACGGCAGCCATGGCAACCTGCAGGGACAAGAAGAGAGAGAGCGAGCTGCATTTTGTGGACAGAGCGGAACTCCTCAGATTGAGGAGGGAGAACCCCGGGCCCAGAACAAAAAGAAACATGAGTGCCCTACTTCCGAGCGGCAGGAGGCGCAATTACCACGGATGGCAGCTGGGATGTGTCCAGCTCCTGGCGTCATTCAGTCAGCAAGTGTACAGAGGACCTACTGCCTCAACAGTGGCAAGTAGAATGAACACAGGTAGCAACATCATGTGGCCTTGGCCCCAAGAAACATGCATATTAAATAAAAGGAGCACCCCCAAAACATGAGGCGATGGCGCCCTTCCGCAAGAGCGCAGCAGGCCCTCTCCCTTACTAAGTGTGCACACAGTAAACACTAAAGGGCAGACCCGTCCCAAGTACTGTGACAGGTGTTCAGGATCCAAGACAGGGGCAGGCATTTAACAATTAAAATGCAATCTCATCTGGGAACCTGAGCCTCCAAGCAGAGGGGACCCTGGCGAGGTGGGCGGAGGCCAGGCATGGTCTTGATGGCCTGACCAAGGGCTGTGCTCCGTCCTGGACCATCCCAGAGGAACCACCGCAGTCAGATCCAGGGTCCACTAAATGGCCAGAAGAGCCTGAAGGCTCCTGCGCACAGTCAGACGGCTGAGATCACACACGGGAAACTAGATTAAGCACCACCCCCTCTCCCTCAAAAGAGAATACAGAATTTGTGGGAATGACGGACTTCTGGAAGGAAATCCATTTAAAGTGAGATGAGGGGAGTCCTGAAAACAGTCAACACGGCGGCAAACACGGCGGCAAACACGGCACACGCCTTCGGGAAGGAGCAGGTGCCGCCCCGTCTACTGTGATTTAATTCAAGCTCTATCAAGCTTCGCAGAGGGAAAAATGAAACAAACTAACCACCAAGCAGGAACCTGTGAGCACATCCCCTCCCAGGAAAACGCCAAACACAGAGGGAAGCATGAAGAGAAAGCTGAGCAACAGCCACAGACAGAAGACAGACGCAAGCCGCGGAGGCCCTGACCACACAGGGCACTCTCCCTGGTAAGTTCCACACTTCCACCATGTGGGAGAAACCGCGCTGACGTCACGGTAAGTTCTGAAAGCTATTCTCAACCTGGGTAGTGATGTGGACACGTAATTTGGGAGGGTGAGGACGAAGGAGTCCCAGTTTGAGCCCAAAAAGCTGGGCTATTTACAAAAAATAAATATAAAAATAAAAAAGTCAGACCCCAGCTGAACTGGTGTTATATGCCTTTAATCCCAGCATTGAGGAGGCAGAGGTAGGTGGCTCTCTGTGAGTTCAAAGCCAGCCTGGTCTACATAGTACGTTCCAGACCAGCCAGGGCTACACACAGAGACTGCCTTAAAACAACAACAACAACAACAAACAAACAACCCAGGCCCCATAACACAGGTCTGTGATCCCAACCACTGGCGAGGCTAAAATGAGAAAATCGAGTTCAAAGCCAGTCTGGAACTTAATGAAAAACATCTAAGGGGTGGGGGTGGGGGTGGGGGTGGGGGTGGGGAGTGGCTCAGTGGCTTAGTGGCTTAGCCAACATGAAGTCCAGGCTACAAGCACCAGCCAGGGAGGGAGAAAAGGAAGGGGGGAGCGAGGGAGAGAGGAGGGAGGGGATGAAGGGATGCAGCTACTGCCCCTCTGCCCCAGCTTCCCCAAGACTCGGGACACCGGTGAAGGAAATCCAGTGGAGGGTGCCTGACCTCAGGGGGCTTCTGCTCTCCTCACTGACAGCCGGCCGGTCTTCCCTTGCTGCCGGCTCTGAAGGGCAGCTGTGAAGGAAAGCAAGCCAACAAGAAACAAAGCCGCAGCTCAGCTGGGAACACTTTAACTAAGATCAATGCTTGCAAAACAAAGCAAAAGTTTTAATGCATGAGTCGGCAGCAGAGAGTGTGCGTCTGGGGACAGTCCCCTGGCCTTGGTGGCACAGTGGAGAGGGCATTCCTTCCTTGTCCTGACTCTTTCCTTCTTAGGGACACATCATCGGCTAGGACAAAAACCCATCCAGGTGAGCCTGGGGAAGAAGGGCAATCTATACGGCCCTCAGAGCGCCTGCGCCTGAGCGGCCGGCTGCCCACGTCACCTGGCTCTGGTCTCTCCACCTGCCTGTGCAGGGTCACCCTCTCTCTCCACTACCTTCCTCCGTCCTCAGCAGCACCTGTTTGAACTCTCCCCCCACCACAACAGCCAGCCTGTGTGGTCCACACCCAAAGCCTGGTAGCTTCTGACTGGCCTGCCTGCACCCGGGTGCCCAACACTTTCTCATACCCTGGCAGGAAGGAGAGGGGCTTGAAGGAGGGGGACGTGGGTTTGGGGGGCTTGGCAGGAGTCTCCATGTTCCCCCTGGAGACCCTTCCCCAGCGTGCCACTGTCAAGAACTGCCGAGACAGTGGCCCCACCAACTATGAGGTGTTGCTTAGAAACAGGCACTGACAGCCCTGGTGCTCTGGAGCCTTGACATGAAAAAAAAAAAAAACCACCATTCAGTC